AAACCAAACCAAACCAAACCAAACCAAACCAAACCAAACCAAACCAAGACAAAATACAAAACGTTTTCTTTCTTGTGTTCAAAATGGAGAAATCCAGTAATAACGATTTTGTTGGTTAATCTTCATTATCAAATTGTCTGGGTTCAGAAACATCTAAGGATATTGGTGAAGTACACCTTTGGTATGGGCCTGGAGAGATAAAGCGGTTAAGAGCACTTATTGCTCTTCCAGAAGATTGGAGTTCAATTCACAGCACCCACATGGCAGCCTATAACCCTGTAACTCCAGCTCTCGAGGATCTAACACCTTTTTCTGGTCATTTTCTGTTTGTTTTGTTTTGTTTTTTGTTTTGTTTTTTGGTCACTGCAAGTACGTGATACAGACATACATGCAGGCAAAACACTCATACACATACGGAGGAAAAATAAGCATAGCTTATTTCCACTAATGATTGTCAAGAAAAGAGGTGTATTTGGCTGTTAGTACTTTCACCTATAATCATATTTTTGTTAAATTATGCAGTAAATAAAAATAAGGCTCTAGAACAAAATTATAACATCGGAAGAGTCCTGGAGATGCTGAGGTAGGAGACTCTCTACCCAGAGCCAACCCTCTCAAAAGACAGAATCGTGGTAGAAAATGAATATCCGCGAGTCATCAATAACTTAGTTATAACTCCGTAAATAAAGATGAGGAGACGTTTCTTCCTGATCACAATGCCTTGCGCCTACCTCTCTGCAGCATCAGAAACCATTGCAAGACTCAGATCAGAGTGCACACTGGTTGGAGGTCCAGGACGCATGCGCATCGCAGGAGCGGGGAATCTGCGCATGCGCAGTTGCCGCGACTATGGCCCCCGCCGGCCGCCTGCAGTGAGTCCTTCCGCGCCTCGGCGCGTTTTGTATCGTAGCTTCCCCTCTGAGTGTTTTGCAGGAGGGAGTCCAGGGGTATTGGAGGGGGTGGCGTGCAGAGCGTCTGCGTCGGGTTTCACGCGGGCCGTGGGAGTTTCGGGCTCACCCGGAGGGTGTGAGCAGGGACGCCGGTGTCCTCGCGGGCGTGCACGCCCCCGGGTCGGAGGGGTTCCTGTCTGGCTGGTGTAGTCGCTCCTCCGCGCTGCTATCGGGTGAGGCTGTCTGGCTCTTTCTGGCGCGTTACTTATGGCGTCCTCGTCTAGAGCCTGGCCGTTCTCGGAGGTTTTGCCGAGATCCTTTGGGTCCCTGGGCCCCTCGGATGTGCCGGTTTCGGGCTGAGTTGGCTACCAGGCTCCAATGAGCGGCGGGGCTCTTTTCTGTGGAATCTTCTAGGTGGTTTCCCTTTCACTTTACTGGTACTGCAAAATAAATCCGTCCGTCCGTCCGTCCATCCATCCATCCATCCATCCATCCTATATCTAACTATCCCTCCCTCCCCAGGGAGGTTCATATGTCTGTTCCTCTGCTTTGTGCTCGGTTTGCTATTTCTTCCTTGGTTTCCAGTGGTTTTATTTCCCTGGAAAAACATGCTTTTGTCCATCCTCCTCCAACAACTTTTGTCTCCATTCTCTCCCTGCCTTCTTCTCTTATTTAATTTGAAAGATTTCATACCAACAGCTAAATTGCAGGCATAATTTAATAGATAATAACGAAACCATCCGGATTATCACGTAGTAACGTTTTGCTGCGTTAGCTTTTCCTTTCTTTGGAACACATGCCCACTATATCTTAGCTCTGTATTTTGTTTTAGATCTTTTCTTAGCTCATATTTTACCTTAAGATCTCTGTCCCCCTCTCTCCCCTGCCCCCTGCCACCGTGTGTGTGTGTGTGTGTGTGTGTGTGTGTGGTTTGAACTAAGCATGTTGTATATGCTAGGCAGTCACTGTCGAGCTTCTTTATTTTAGCCATCCTAAAGTTTATGGAGATCCCTGCCCCATAAGTCTTTTCTGCATCATTTTATAAATGTGAGTGTGAGAATGTGTGTGAATTAGGAATTAGAATATCTTTCTCATCTGAAAAAGCAGTAAGAGAAATATGCACTCTTGTTAGACATGGTGATGGGTGCCCACAATCACAGCACTTGGGAGATGAACAGTTTCTACACAAGCTCAGCACAGCCTTGTAACTGTTAATTTCTCTCCTGAACTTTTAATGAGTGTACCATCAAAGTATCAGCTGGTGAGTAGGCAAATAGATCTGATCCTGGTGGGTCAACAGTCTTCAAACAACAACAGTAGAAACCTGGCCATGTGGGTATACCACATAGTTTATCCTCTGAAGGTATATAGTTCAGTTTTTTGGTTTTTTGTTTTTCTTTTCCTTTCTTGAGACAGGGTCTCACCATTTAATCTTGGCTTGGCTGGAACTGGCAATGTGGACCAGGCTGGCGTGAAGTCAGAGATCCACCATCTCTGCCTCCTGGGTGCTGGGATTTAAGGCCAATGTCACCATGCCTGTCAAGTTTAGAGCCTTTTCCCTTACAAAAACCTGACCATCCTTTTGGACTTCTCAGACTCCAGGACTGTGAGGTATAAATTTCTGTAACTGAGGTCATGAGCAATCTAAAGTAAGACAAGATCTTTGCTTTGTTAAAAAAAAAAAGGGTTATTGTTGTCATGCTTTTGTCTGTCTGTCTGTCTGTCTGTCTGTCTGTCTATTGGGGGTTGGCTAGGCAGAGGCAAGGCTGCCCAGGCTGGCCTCTAACTCTTGATTCACCTACTGGGATTATAAGTGTGCACCCACCATGCCTGTCTTTTATTACTGGCTTCGAAGTTTTATATGTTCTAGATACATGTATATAGTATTGTCTCCCATCTGGTAGTGTCTTTTGTTTGTTTATTTTTTTATTTTTTCGAGACATGGTTTCTCTGTATAGTCCTGGCTGTCCTGGAACTCACTCTGTAGATCAGGCTGGCCTTGAACTCAGAAATCTGCCTGCCTCTGCCTCCCAAGTGCTGGGATTAAAGGCGTGTGCCACCTCCACCCGGCTGGTAGTGACTTTTGACCTTATTGGTTGTGTTAAGTCTTAGACTTTGATAAAATAAGTATCAGTTATAAGTGAAATGAACTTTTTTTTTTAATTCTCAAGATTAGTTACCCACTGTTCACAAGATAGTCACTATCTGAGCTTAGGTAGAACTTGTCAAACCTTAAATTTTTTATTTTATTTTAATTTTATGTGTATGGGTGTTTTATCAGTGTGTATATATGTGAACCAAATGCAGTGCTCACTGAGACCAGAAGGAAATACTTGGTTCTTTGAGACTGGAGTTAGGAGATGGCTCTGAGCCTTCATGAGGGTGCCTGGAACTGCACATGGGTCCTCTGCAAGTCCTCTAATATTTCTTAGGATTTTCTTTCCCTTTTAAAAGTACGTGTTTTTCGTTTAGTTGACACATGGGGCAGTGTATAAATGGAATATAGTGTGAGAAGTGATCTTACTAGTGTTCTGTCTTGCTCTTATTTTAGTCAAGTTAAAAGTAGGTGGTAAAAGTACGATTACATAAAAAGCCTCACGTTTTACATGTCCAGGCAGTTTTTTCCTCCGTTTGTCTTGTAAGGTGGCAAAGGTAGTGCCCAAGCGTGAGTTTCCCTTTAGTAGAAGAACAAAGTGCATAGTATGTTGTTCTGCAGCACCACTCAATGGAAATTTATAGTTAATCCAAATAAATTTAGAAGTAGTAGATGATTGTGTTGTTGTAGCCAACAGAGACATTCTAGGAACACCATGCTTTACCCACAGCTGCAGATGTGGTTTCGCTGTTTACTTTAATAGTGTATATAATCCATCAGTTGTGACACCTTGGAGAAAAATCCACAGAGGCCATGGAAAGTTCCCATGGCTATTAACCTGCTGCAACCTTGCCGGGCAGTAGTGGCACATGCCTTTATTCCTAGCACTTGGGAGGCAGAGGCAGGTAGATTTCTGAGTTTGAGGCCAGCCTGGTCTACAGAGTGAGTTCCAGGACAGCCAGGGCTACACAGAGAAACACTGTCTCAAAAAACCATACCAAAAAAAAAAAAAAAAATCAGCTGCACCCTGTACTTCAGTATACCCAGGAATTCATCATGGTTACTGTTTTTGATGCTGGGGCTGGAACACAGGGTGTGAGACATACTAGGTAAGCATTCTTCCAAATTCCACTCCTAGCTCTGTGGTCTTCCTTTTTCAGTGTAAGTGTTAAAGACTAATACTTTGTGTCCAAGAACTAAGTTTACTTCAGCCTGAGTTCTCATGTTTTGTGACACATTATTTTCATTCTTGCTTAACTTACAGGTATTTTCTAATTCTTACCAAGTTTTTGTTATGTCACTGAGAAATAGGTTATTACATTTTCACTTTTCCAAAGTAGTACAAGTTTGTTTTACCTCCTGCTTTTTTCAGTGTTATTTGCTTTGTATTTGGTATTCTTCTGTTGATTGGTTGTTAGCATGACTGCATTGTATCCAGTAGATTGGTCTCTTCTGTTATTGTCTGGCCGTTGTTCAGTGTGTTCATTGATCTGGCTTATGGTCATGTTAAGGGAATGTTTCACATGTGCTTAGAAAACATTTGGCTTTCAATGTACATGGCTTTTTATCTGGCTCATAAGGCTGACTACTGAACATTTTTGCTGTTTGTTTCTGTCCAGCAGTTTTTCTGAATTTCCATTTCTGAAAGGATCTAAGCCTTTCGTTCTGTTTGTATATACTGGTTTATTCTTCCAGTTGTAGAAGCCTTTCCTCTGTTTGGATGCACAGTACTACTGTTGTATTGCACTGTGATTTTATCTGGTCAGTACTGTTGTTTTTCTTTTCAGCATTGCATTGGATGTATCCGTTTCTCATTTCTTTTTCTTTCTGTTCCCTCCTTTCTTCAGTCCCCCCTCCTTTGAAGAATTGTTTTTGCTTTTTCTGAATTTTTTTTTATTTTATTCTCATTTCCGAATCTTGGTGAACCTGGTAGGTTTTCTCTTCAGTATGTCGAAAGAAACTTTCCATCATTCTTGGCTTTCTACTTTGGTGTTGGGTAATTATGACCAGTCGTATTAAATTTCATCTTTACCTATTTCTGGTCTGTTTTTTCCTTTCTTTTTTTTTTAAAAAAAATTTATTTTAAGAGCATTCAGTAAGGGGTTAGAGAGATGGCTCAGTGGGTAAGAACACTGGCTGCTCTTCCAGAGGTCCTGGGTTCAATTCCTAGTCCTTACATGGTGGCTCACAACCATCTGTAACTCCAGTTCCAGGGATCCCACAGGTTCTTCTGGCCTCTGCAGGCGCCATACATGCATGTGGTACACAGACATACATGCAGAAAAAACACCTATACACATAAAATAAGATCAGGGGAAAAAAGGTCATTTCAGAGCTGTGTATTGATTATTCACTTGTCCTGATTAAGACTTATGTTTCTGAGGAAACCATGATTATATTCCCATGATAGAAGGGAAAGTAAACAGTTTGATGTTTTAACAGCTGCTACCAAATTATCCAACCATGAGCATTGAATAAATACAGGTTTTAACTAACATATTGTGTGCCAGCTGAGCTTTAAGTATGTTATCAAACTTGTATTTATTCATTTAATTAGTTTATTTATAGACAGGGCTTTACTCTGTAACCTTGGCTGATCCAGGACTTGCTATATAGAATAGACTAGCCACATACTTGTGATCCTCCTGCCTCTGCCTCCCAAGTGCTGCATATACAGCACGGGTTTATAATTCTGGATTTCCTTTTTCATTTTACTCAGATCATCCATACACATCTGGTGTCGGGTTGTTTGTTTGTTTGTTTGCCTGCGTATTTGGTTGTTTGTGACAGGGTCTCATGTCGCCTAGGTAGCCTCAAGCTTACTGTGTGGCATAGGATGATTCCCTGAGTGTTCCCCAGTCATCCAGATTCAGCTTCCCACGTGCTGGGAGTATAAGCAGAGGCCACTCCACCCATTGTGTTTTTAGGGTTACAGTTTATGAGTCATGATGGAGAAGATGGGGCAGACAGATCATTTGATCCCAAGACATTTGAGATGAATCTGGGCAACACAGTGAGACCCTGTCTCAAAAACTAGAACAGAACAAAACCCAAACCAAGCGAAAGGAAAACAAAACCCAAACCAAGCGAAAGGAAAACAAAACACAAACCAAGACGATGTAATTCAATGACTGACAGAATGAGAAGATGGTTGTTTTCAGGATTTCTGTTTTCTCGTTAGGATAATATGCATTTTTGTCTTTTTGTGCATCTCTATGAGTTCTTTGTTGATATTGGGTGATAATCTTTATCACTATTTAGTACTTGTTTCCACCTTCCACTTGTCTATTATCTTTCATTGTATTTTGATTTATTGAAAATGTTAGTGTTGATGTTGAGTTTGTTAGTTTGTCTATATGGCCTTGCTTCTTAAGCCCTGCTGCTCAAGGTCTGTCCTGCTGTGAAAGCATCTTTTGTACTTTAGTTTTTGGTTTTATGTGAAAGAGTTTTATCATCTTAAGATACATGTTCTGAGTTAAGTGTCTAATTTTTCTTTAAAGAGAGCCAGTTGTCTTTCTTTTAATTTTTTCTCCCATTGATTGATTGGTTGATTGAGGGCCTGGGCATGTGTGCCATGGCCCATGTAGAGGTCAGAGAACAACTTTGCAGGTTAGTTCTTTCCTTTCACTGTGTGTGACCTGGGGATTGAACTCAGGTTGTCAGTTTGACAAGGGACTTTACCCACTGAGCCATCTCACTGGACCCCGGTTGTTTTAATATGATGAAGTATAAAGAGCAGGAAAGGTAGTAAGGACAAGATTAACAGTGGAGAAGCAGGGAAGGCAGTAAG